CCTAAACCAGGCTGTAAGAGGTCATACATAGCACAGCTATCAGGGAAAAGCCAAGGCCAGCTCTGACTGGAACCTGACTAGATACATTTGAAAGATTTGTTTATATAACGACTCAAAAGTATGGCTCTGCTGGTGTGCAGACCTCTGTGAAAGGGGACTTTCCGTTCTTACACAGGTGAGGAAGTAGTATGGTACCTGTTTGTACCAGGTAGAGGAAATCTCACTAAAATGTAGGATTGGCACCATAACTGAGTCTACTGCCATCTGTCAATGGAGTCCACACACCTGTAGCTGGGTGTGTGACTCAGAAGCCATGGCTGGCAAGGGAAAGTACTGGAAACTGAAGACTTCTCAGTTGTCCATCTCCCTACCACTCCCCTCCACCCTCCCAGCCACCTCTGCCTGCTCAGGCCCAAACCATATACCCTGCTGTTTCACAGCTAGTCGATGGTCCTCATGGGAAGCTAACACAGGGAATAAAAGCTCATTTAACAAGGAACAAATGATCGGGCAGGTCTCTGCACCCTCCCTTTGTAAAAAGGTCTGCTCACTACTGAGATTTTAAATTCTGGGCATTTTGGTCCAAAAGCCAGCCTTTTGCACATGCTGTGTTCATGCTTGAGGGGAACAACTGTTCATTTCTTTCAAGGCACATCTAGAAAAACTACCATATCTACTGAGTACCATCCCTGCCCCCTCTTAACATAATTTTTGGTAATCTGGAAATGTGCTGTGAAAAGTTCGCCCCTCTTCAAGTTGGTCATTTTTATATTGTAACCTATGGCATGGCTCACAATTTATATTGTACCTTTCAGTTGGATTGAATTTAGTTGTTACCATTTCAAGTCCATCTAGAAGGCCATGTAATTTGCCCATTGCCAGAAGCAATGTGGATATGGTCACTGGGCTGCCTTGGTAGGTTCTAGAAGGTAGATGTACCTGGGAACTGCTTTTCAACAGACCCATGGGTGTGGAAGCAGAAGGTATTGCATGAGGTCCTCTTCCCTTATCTCTCCAGATCATGGCCAAGCAGAAGTCTTTTAAGCAAGATCATCAACACTAGATTGTTTGTAAAATGTCTGCAGGAACAAAAGAGGCCTGGCTTTTGGTGGTCCCAGTAAATATCATTTGACTTGATAAGAAAGGCAAACGTGTGTGCCTCAGCTCGGTGAAGTTAAAACCTGGCCTGAGCATTTCATCACCTTTTCAGGTTCTGAAATGACACCACTCATCCAAACACACACACACACACAAAAAAAAAAAAACCTGAAATGAACACGGGGACAAAATTTTGTGGATAAGGTTGTGTGGGCAACAGTGACCGGGTTAACTCACATCTTGAAAGACAAGAACACAGGTTGCTGTGCCGAGTCCAAGCTAAAACCATCTGTATCAGCAGGCAAGCCCCAGGACCCGAATCCACAGATACCGAACCACCCTGCCTTCCTCTCCCATGGTCCTTTCCCCCTAAAGAGCTTCACAGAAAATCTCTTGCTAAAGCCCTGTGTATCTAGTTAATGAGCATCTGAGATAATCTGTCCTTCAAAACAAGTAATGGACTAATACATGCCTGGATGTAGAGGGGATTTGCTGAAGCAAAATTATCCCAGAAGCTATTCTGAGTCCTCTGAGAGCTTTTTGTGAAGCATTAGGTTTATGATGGTCATTCAAAAGGAAGAAAAAGCCAGCTCCATTCTCTTCAAATGTCTCCTTCTTTGACAGACTTAAGAGTGGGTGACACACTTTTGACAAGTTGTTCTAAGCTGGTATGTGATGGGGGATTAGTGTGTGACTCACAGACTGGTAGCTGGAGTAAAAGGGGCTAAGATAGCCCCTAATGGTCTAAAGCTGTTGTGGCCTCAGCTGCCAGAGAAATCGCTGCCCCGGGAAAAGCTAACTGCAGAAATGACTCGAGGTTTGCAGCAAACTGTACATTAGGCTGTCCCAGGCCAGAGACTTGAAGTGGCATGTGTAGTACTAGCTGCCCTTCAATAAAGCATTTCATAAAGATGGCAAGCTTGGCAGCCATCTCTGCAAACACACACTGCTAATTAGCAATTGAACTAGACTGCCCTTAAGTGAAAATTGGAGCATAGTCATATTTAACATCATGCCTGTGACATGCCCCACTATGCTGGCCATCCTTCCCTCCTGAGAGCAACCTGGGATACACTAATCCAGAATGGGTAGCCACATCACAACTTTAGACCTCGAAATGGAGCTGGAAGCAAACTGTAGGGATGCAAACAACTGGCTGCCCAAACTAGAGCAACCCAAAACATTCACAGGTCCAGTTTCTAGCTTGTATTCACAGAAGGATGCTTTGCTGAAGATACCCTGCTTCAAGATGCCTTAATGGGCTGAAAATAAACAACTATATCTAACCTAAATAAAAGCCACTTGCTAAGGACCATTCCTTGCCACCAACGACCTGCACAGCACTGTATGGATACCCATGTCACACAGCCGACATCACTCCACTCTCAGCATGTCATAGGACTTTCTACAACAATGCTAAACCAAATGGGATGACATTTGGTTCTGCCAGAGAAAGAAAGGTTCAGCAATAAAACCACCTTTAATTAGTTCTTTCTAAAATTGCACTTCTGATCCGGGAGACTGTAATTCATCCTATGAAACTGTGTTTTAGGCTGAAACTACACTAGATTTTCTTTGTTCAAATTTTTACATTTACCTGGCTATTTTCAAAATCAATTTTAACTATCCCTGTGCGCTCCTGTATTGTGAACCATAAAATTCACTCAGTCTAGACCTTAAATCAAACCCTGAATTATGGATCCAGGTTAATGTTGTGTTCCAGGAACCTCTACTCCCTATCCCTGCTGAGGTCCATCAGGCTAGACACAGAGACGCCAATCCAGGGCCTGTGCCAAAGAGGTAGTGTCTACTGTTGCCACTCAAGCATGGCAGCTGATGACACCTGTCACAGGGGAGAGGACACAGTCCCTGTACCATATTTTAAACACATCAAATATATTTAAAACTTCTCTCCCGAAATGTATCACCAGAGAGAGAGGGGGAGAGAGAGAGAGAGAGAGAGAGAGAGAGAGAGAGAGAGAGAGAGAGAGAGAGAGAGAGAGAGAGAGATGAAAGAATCATCCTGTGAACTTTAGGAGTAAAATAAGCCCCTTGAGACTGTTTTCCCACAAAAAGCTCTGGTCACCTATCTGCCTGGTGCTTTCCCCCCTGCCTAGAGCAATGTTCACTCTTCAAATCATCAGGACTTTTCCGTCTACAGCTCAGATTGGCTCTTGGCATGTCCACACCATTCCTGGCTACTTAGCTCAAGTGAGGCTTTGAGGTGCTCAATACTCTATTCCCAGTTCAGTCTCCTGACTTCTGTTTTGTAAAACTCTGAGCACAACCCTCTTAGGGAAGTCTGTCTGTGAGGAAACAAATGGAGTAGACAAGAGTTATGAAGTGAGTTTGCTATCAATATCCCACCCCAGGTACCCTGATTTCCCAACTCTTCACCTGAGACTCAGGGCAGTCATTTCTGCCCCCTTTTACCTAAGTCTACATCAGCACCTTGGGGTGGGAGGAGGGGGAACAACATGCAAAGTCACTTTCCCAACAGGCACCCAGGGGACTCTGGGGTGTATAATAAATTAATATGTAGAAAAGGTATGGAGTATAGCTAAGTAGCAGCATGCTTGCTTCACATATTTTTAGAAAGAAAAATATGGACTTGAGAAGAATCAATACCTATACTGATGGGCATAAAACCACAAAGCTAAAAACTCCATTTGCCGATGTGGCTTCAGTATTCAGTGACGTGACAAGCACAAATAACCAGACAAAGTGGGTTTGAAGGAGTAACCATTCATCTAGCTGTTCCTCTCTTACTAGCTGAAGTCTCTCTAGTCTTTTTTCTAATGGAGACTTGTGGGCACTCATCAGGAAGGCAAGAGCAGGCCAATTATTGTGCCTCCCATGTGATGGGTGTTGCACCATGGCTAGGCAAACTGCTATTCAAGACAAAGTCAGCAATGTTCCATGAATAGGTATCAGGGGCTCTTGTTTAGCCTATGATACACTGCCAGGCTGGCTCCTAATGGCTCACCCAGCCCAGGCCAGATGTCCTGGGAATTTTTCTCATGGGTTGGCTCTCCAGCTTCCTCAGTCCAAAACTGCTTTAAGACCCTACAAAGGCCCCTCAGTTCTGTAGTGCCGTCTTGTCCCAGAACCCAACTGACATAACCAGTGTTCCTGAGCACAACCAATGGACCTGGTGTCACCCTTGAGGCTCAGCAGAGATGCCCACAAGGAACAGAGAGCTGGGCCCGGCATCCCTCCATTGGAGAGACTGCGGCTATCACTTCAGAGCTGCGTCCAGGACATAGGGGACTTTAATATTCATAAGTACTAGTTGTTTGTGGCCTCATCTTCTCCTGTATTCTTCCCTGCCTGGTAGTCACTTCCTAACCTGTGGCTGAAGTATGACCATGCTTCTGGGAGAGACTAGTGAGTAGCCAGAAACACCAGTATATCTCCACTGGGGCATTCTCCACAGCTGGGTACTAGGCATGCACCATGGCCATGAGGAGGGAGTCGCCAGCAGGTACCTAGTGTCGCAAATTCCCTAGGACCTGTATGCATTTCCATCCCAGGCACCAACACGGGCTGAACAGTGCTTGCTTCTCTACAAAATGCAACCTATTACCAAAATAAAATAACAACCAGTGTTTTTACAAGTTGCAGTTAGCATGATTATATCTTTTGTACCCATTCCAAATTCTGTTTCACCCCCCCAAAAAAAAATACTCTATAGCTTCACAAGTTAATGATTTTTTCGTAAAACACTTAAGGTTTGTTTTTTTTTTTTTTTTCCTTAAATATAAGATGACACACTTTTTTCATCTGATCAATTCCTAAGATCCAAAGTTTGCATAGGTATGCTTCATTCTGTGCAAATCTTACTAAATTAAGGCTGTCTTGTGTTTTGGTCATGTTCAAGTGATTAGAGCAAACTCTCAAGCAATTAGAAAAAAAAAACTCTCTACATTCCAAATTCTTTCCATGTGAATTTCTGGGCAGGCAGCTGAGGTTGGGGATTTTCCCACAACATAAGGCAATATGTGTGGAGAGATTGCAAGTCCTAGAAGTAGAATTCAGAGTGGCAGATGAGGTGTACCTGTGTGGTAGGTGGAGCTCCACATTGTTCTTGCATTTGACAGGGTAGAGGTGGCAGGCGCTGTAGAGGAGCTGCCTTGAGGCTGCTGAAGAGTTGACCCCAGCATGGGTCACAGAAGTTCAGTGTGTGCTCAGTGCCATCTGGGCTACAAGCTGAATGACTCCACTCCAAGGGACAGAAGAATAAGTACAAACCATATGAAGAGGAAAAATGGCAGAAGGACCCGGCAAAGGAACAGACAGCTCAGAGACTTATATTCTGTATAACAAGGGGAGACCCAGCTAGAGAGAGGAGATGCATACAAAAAACCCTCCCTACAAATCAAGTATTGTCAGGAAGTATCAAAGTAGACAGTTTTTGATAAGCAGCTTTGCATTTAACATTCAGTCAAGACACTATAACCTTATAAAACCAAGTCTCTATTAAAATAGTATAAAAAGCTAACAGCAGGAGTCCTCGAAGTCCCCCAGGATCTTGTAACACAGAATTGAGTGTTCTTGGGCCAAGGCTGCCAGCTCCTTCAGGAACTCTGGGAAGAGAGCGGCAGCCAGCATGGTATTCTTCACTGGCAGAGGAAGGTTTGGGGGTGCTCCAGTCACTTTAGCTCTCTTGCCCAGGAAGGGCTGGAGCACTCGTGGAGAGCCATCCATAAGGGTCTTGTCACTTTCTGTCCTAGAGACCTCCTGAATGGGATCTGAAAGCAGAAAGAAGATAGTGCTGGAAATCTTAAATTACAAGGGTGTGTAAGAGGGGCAAGTGCTTTAGTGGAGGGAACAGCCCTGCAGCTCCTCAGCTGACTAGCCCCTGAAGACAGCCCTCGAGTAAAGCTTGTCCATCAGGTAACAGCTCTTTACAGGACCAACTCTTTAAAATCCTATACAGAGAACCTCATACATAGCTGTGGCAAGAATACGGGTTAGACAAACTCCAAGTCAGACACTGTGCTGACACCCTGAAGTTCTGTCTATCTGTGAAGTCAAAGAAGAAGGATCATGTGAGCTCAGGTTAGTAGTTCAAGATCAGCCTGAGCAACACAGCAAAACCCTGATCGGATGGATGGATGGATGGATGGATGGATGGATGGATGGATGGATGGATGGATAACTTCCAGCAGTACCTGCTACCACTGGTGAATTTATCAAGGATACTCGTGGCTCTCCTGATATCCCAGTGCAGGGGAGTCCTGGTCACCATTTGCAGCTCCTTAAGCTCTTGTATTCTGCAACTGTTGCTGTGAACTCAAGGGCTTCCCAGAAACCCCAACTCCTTCTGGCTGGGTCATCCAGTTTCAAAACACAAGGGTAAGAGATCCCTCCAGATCACCATAAATAATGGTGAGGACCAAACTAAGAATCTCATGCAGGATCTAGTGGCAACGAGGGACTGGGAAGCCAGCATTACAGAGCCTTGCCAGAGGCTTGTGTCCCCATTGCAAAAACACAAGCCTGAGATGACAGAGCCCAGGTTCTAATGTATCCAACTGATTTGCATTTTTATACCAAATCAGTCCTACTAATTAAAATGGTCTAATATCTTTATTTCCTGAGATCTCCAGCCCTCATATATTTGCAGGAATTATTTATGCCACCTTCTGCCCCCTACCCAAATGATCTCATTACTCCTTCTAAATCTCTATATTCAAGTTTTTCATTATTTTGGCTGCTTTTAGAATTCAGCCCCATTTTTTAACACTTTTTTGAGTGTTGCTTAACGACAGCACTAAAAATTCTTGACATTTATAGTACATTCCACGTCTCACTACTATAGTCTTTAGTGTTAAAAAAAAAAAAAAAATCCTCCACTTCACATCTTTAAATATCCTTTTGGATTAAAGCTCATCACAGTTCATGTCACAGAGAACTAGAAAAGTTGAGAATCTGTCTCCCACTACCTCTTATCAGAAATTCCTCACGTGCCCTAGCAGGAGCATGAACAAGAGTATGAACAATGTTGAGGTTCAAAGGGCAGCCTTGGCAACCCCTTCCACCTACTGGCCTGGGTTACTCCAGGAAAGTGGCATCACCTCTCTATACTTTCACTTCCATGGACCTGTCAAAGGCTCATGGAAAGACTACAGGATCAAATGAGTCACTTAGGTGTCAACTACACAGGGCCACTAGACTGCATATGGAATACTTCAGTTGCCACTCACTTGCCACAGCCTGTGCAGTTCCTGCTCCACAATCTCTCAAGTCCTTCCCCACCCTGGTTCCTGCCCCCAGTACTGGAGGCTTGCATAGTTTTTTCAGCCATGTACTTGTCTTACATTTGTGTGGGACTCCGTGTCTCCTAGGGTCAAGCTCACCTGGGAAGGTGTCTCACAGCCACTGGCCTGTCTATTCCTGGAGAGCAGCAATGTTGCACAAATGAGTGAATGAAAGAGATGGCCACATTTCTTCACACCCTGCACCTCTGTAGAATGTCTCACATTCCTCATTGCTAGCTTTCAGACTTGCCCCTCCTCTAAACCAGGCTTTCTGTGGGTATTTATCTTCGTGACTTGTGAATTACAAGTGTTACTGCTAAAGTTTGCCCAGCTTGAATCCAAGAATCTTTGCTTATGAGGCAGAAGAGCAGCAGAGGAGTCCAGAAACTTGCAGGGAATGTCCATCAGGCAGTTCCAGCAGCTGCTGGGGTGGGTCCAAGCTGGCCTACCACCGGGAAATGGCCTTTCAGTGTGTCACAGTAGGCAGACTCAAGTGATCACCCGGGCCTGGCTCACCAGGTCCCTTCTCTGTAAAATGGGCTAACATCTCACCACCCTTCTAGAATCAGAGCTCAGGTGAGGGCTCTGAATGTAAGTCAGCACTCAACACTAATGTTGTATAGTTTTAAAGTACTTTAAGTAGGAGCTAAAAATGTACCTAAACCTTAGTCACTAATGATCTGGTCTGTGTAGCCAGCACAGGAAGTCCTCTGTCCCCTGTGCTGAGAGCAAAGGTTGTCTTAGCTGCTGCTGTTGGAAGCATCGGTGAAGAGGCTGGTGTTTGAGGGGACACCAGCAGGAAGTGAAGGGAATGCAGACGCAGAAGGGTGGAATAGCGCTGGCTGCTGAGTGATACAAGGGACACAGCCAGCATGCATACACCCGAAGGGAGAGGCAGGGAGAAAGAACTGAACAGTATCAGGGCCAGGGCTGGGTTCTGAAACGGGGCCCTGGGTCTGAAAAGCTGCTGTGGGAGGCACTCAAGACTGACTGAGGATTTCAGAAGCTGGGCAGGGAAAACACTGTCTGTTCATCTGGTGGTGGCAGGGCTGGGCAAGGGGCACAGCACACAGAACGGGATGTGGCATTTACTAGATGGTCCTGTCCCATTTATGGCAATTCTATCACAACGACATCAGAAAGCAGCTCTGTTCTCGGTGACAGGAAGCTATCTCACTGTGATTTGGATTTCTGAAGTTGCAGTGGAGAGTGTCGCTTGGCTAACATAAAAATAATTAAGCAACTCTATGCTGGCTGCTTTTATGTCAAGTTGACACAAGTTACAGTCACTTTGAAGAGGGAACCTCAATTGAGGAAATGTGTCCCCACCCTGTTTGCTGTGGTGCAGTTTCTTGATTATGGTGGATGCCATCTCTACAGAAAGCAAAAGGAGAAAGCCATGAGGAGCAAGGCAGTGAGCAGTCCCTCCATGGCCTCTGCATCGTTCTCCACCTCCAGGGCCCTGCCCTGACTGCCTTTGATGACGGACTATGACCTGGAAGTGTAATTGAAGTAAACCCTTTCTTCCCCAGATTGCTTTTGGTTATGGTGTTTCATCACAGCAACAGAAAAAGCAAACTAAAACAAACACAATTAAAATGAAAGTTTTCTTCCTCAAGAGAGGCTTGCCACAAATCCAGTCCCCCGAGTGTCCTCTTGTCTCTGTGAACAAGGCTGGATACTCTCAGATACTTGAGCCTCAGACCTCTGGCTGACTGCCCTGAGCAGGCCATGTTAGTTTCATGTGTGAAGATGAAGCCAGTGTGGCCTTCCCTGTCTACTTCACAGTGCTGTTTGGCAATGGAAGTTGACTGGCTAGGAAAGCACTTACAAACTATGCAATACAAATGAAGACTGATGGCTACCATTCTTTACAACTCTTCCCACCTAGAGAACCCAGAGGTCTCCTTTAGCCAACTCAGGACTGCAGACTTGACCGTGAGTGAGCTCTCGGGTATTTGCTACATTCCCGCTGTCATTCCTGTACCTCCAAAGTCATGTATGTTTCTAGCCTAAACTAACTTGCTAAGTGGTAAGAAATAGCCTATTATACCACTCAACATGCAAAGATGTATGGGCCCATCCTGACATCCTGCTGATGGCACACATGAGTGGGTCCAGGTCAAATCAGCTAAGCTGGTGCCAGTCAGGGCACACCCACACACCCCAAAACCCAGGTGCACATGCCCTCATACATCATCAGAGACAGCCATGATTGAAGACAGTGACCTTTCAAACACAAAGGCAAATGAGGCATGTTCTCTCACAGGGTAAAAAACAGCACAAGCTCCTTCAGGGGCAACAGAGCTTCCATATCAGCTGTCCAGGTAGCTGAGAGACCCCAGGGCCTGAATTCCACCTTCCCACCCAATGCAGACAGCCTTCCCTCCCTGGATGGCCTTGCCTTCACTTTTCAAAGTCTATCAAGTTAAAGCCTGACCTATCACTTTACCAGTGGTACCTGGTAGTTCACCACAACCAGAGTTCCTTCTGTGGCCACAAAATACCTGAGGGATGAACAAGATGAACAAATCCTTCCTTTAAAAGTCAAGGGAAGAGTAGAGAATGCTGCTTAGTGGTAGAGCATGCTGGGGACCCAGGGTTTCATCCATAGCCCCGCCTCCAAAAAAGCTAGAGACATTAAGACCCAGTTAGCAAATTGACCAAGATCAACTAGCAAACACAGAGACATGGTCCAGTAGCTGCACACAGTTCTGGATTCTTTACATTTTTTCAGCTTCTTCTTCTTATTTTTTGGTTGTTGTTGTTTGTTTTGTGAGATAGGGTTTCAGTTTCTCTGTGGCTTTAGAAGCTGTCCTGGAACTAGCTTTTGTAGACCAGGTTGGTCTTGAACTCACAGAGATCCACCTGCCTCTGCCTCCCAAGTGCTGGGATTAAAGGTGCGCGCCACCACCGCCCAGCTCTCATTCCCAGTCTTGTACCTGGCCACTTGCCTTAGCGCTTAGGCCCAAGTTTCCTCCTTGCTCACCTGCCCCAGGGAAGCCTTGTTCCACACCTGGACAACTGAGGTAAAGCCAGAGCAATATTGGACATTTACTTGTTTGCTCTCACCAGGGCCAATGTCACAACTCAGAAGACAGGGGCCATCAGATTTGCCTAACCAGGGCTGAAACAAGGCCAAGCAGCAGCTCACCAGGCTCTCCTCCTCCACACCTCCCTGCTGGTACCCACCCTCTTTCTATCCTGACCCACCTAACACCACCCCAGGGAGAGCAACACTGTCAGGAGTCAGGCAGGGGACAATCGTCACTCCTCATTCTGACAAACAGCATCCACCTCCTGGAGTCCTAAAGTACTTTTTTTTGGGGGGGGGGCAAGATGCTTTGGAAATATAATAAAGAGAACAGATGACATCTGCAGAGCAGGGGATGGTAAAAAGAAGGTTCTGGGAGTCCACATAATGCCTCCCTGTAGCCCACAGGTGCTGTGATTTATTGGAGCTTGACAACATCTCACACATCAGCTGCTTCCCAGAATCACCTCAGCAAAGAAAATGAATGGCTAGCCAGATCCTCCAGGGAGGGTATGGGCCAGTGCAGGCCGGGAAGCCCTTCCTTCAGATCTGAGAAGTTGTTCTAAGATGGACACAAATAAAACATTTTTTGATGCTTGTATGTTCCAGACTCCAAGCAACACCTGCAAACACAACCCAGATTGTGGGAGAGTGGGAACAGGGTACGACGGACACAGTGAAGAAAGCGGCCTGACCTTTGGTGTGTGCCTCAGGGGTCACATCGGACATGTCCACCCGGAAGAGCAGGTACTGCTGGGCTTGGATGAGGAGCCCTGGGAAGTCTCTCTCCATGGAAGCAAATTGTTCAATCTTGTTTTTCACAGATGCAAGGACCTGTCAAAAGCACATGAACAATGCTTACTGCTCCACAGCGCAATTCCACTCTGTTATCGATGTATCTTTTGGGTCTGGCCCTTAATACAGGGAGTGTTGCGATATCAGACACTTGCTCATTTTTAACTGCCTGTGTGTTCTTCGTAAGGTACCCTCAAAACATTGAACTAAATGAAGCTTTGCAGTTTGTCTAGAATAATCGACATAGCCAGCTCAATAGGACAAGGAAGAAAAGTAAATTAGTTGGGATGTAGGAATTTTTGAAAACTAATAAAATCATGAGAGGAAGGGAAAGAGAAAAGGAACAGGTGTGGCTTTAATATACCTACCTGGTAGAGAGAGCGGACGCTTGGCTGGAAGACCATGTTGGTGTTGAGGAGGAAGGAGCGCAGGAGTGGCTGCGGGTAGCTGGCCAGCTGGGTGATGATGCCAATTAGAAGCAAGTTGACATGCAGGGAGTTCTCTAGCATGTTCTCCAGCTTTGACAGGACCACACTGATGAATGGACCTACAGGGAGTATCACAGTGTCAGGGTTGGCTGGACATGTGGGACAAGCCTTCGTACAGCCGCAGAGTCACTGGGGCCAAGGTAACAAACCACCCTGGGCCGAGTGTGAACACAGATGACACCCATCTGCTTCCCCGTGTGAAGGAGAGCTAACTTCCTGACTCTACAAGCACCTTTAATACTTTGAAAGCCATAAAGAACTTTGAAAAGCTCAGACAACAAGTCATTTGAAAAGATTAAACTTGCTCTTCGTTCCTTGATTCTGTCAGTGCTCAAAATGTGAAAATCCTCTTGGTCTGAGGACTGCATGGAGGTGTAAGAGGACATCGAAAACGTCATAGCAACAAGCCTTCTGTTAGTGGAGCGAGTGCACCAGACTGAGCAATGTTTACCAAACAGCAACATGTGGCAGGGACTGTCCATCCTGTCGCACACCTGAGAGAGGCTGTGCCTCAAAGTGTCATAATGCAGAGGCCTAGGATGGAGACCTGGCCATGCCTCACAGCTGGGTATCTGCACTTTATATTTCAAACCAGAGAGAAAGAAGGGATCAGTCTCAAGAAATGAGGTTCAGTGTGACACAGAGAACTCAAAAAAGCAAAGCCTTATGGTTACAAAGGCAGTTCATAAAATATATATTAGCAAAAGGAAGCTATTTCTGCTTTACACTGGTGGCAAGTTAATATGGTTTATGTGTTGGTTTACTGAGGGCAAAGAAAACAAAAATGATAATAAATCTGGAATTAATAAAATTACTTGAAGATGTGTTAAATTTTTACCATAAAAGTGTTCCATTAAGCAAGATGGATGAGACTTCTGCATTTCTCCCAGTGGAGCTGTTGGTGACACCACTAAGCCCAGGCATGTTTATGAAACATGTACATAAGCCTTGATAGATAAACACTTATGAAGACTTTACCACCATCAGTGAGTCCACCACAAACACACTTCATCTCCAGATATCCGGATAGTTCATACAGCTGCTAAGGGCAAAAATCCCTTACAAGGATTCAGCTGTCTGGGAAACGAGGGCAGACAACCACACTGAGCACTGACACTGTGTGAGTGATGGGGCGATGCGGTGAGCCCATGCCAGGATCTCTATGAGGACCATTCCTGAGGATGGTTGGTGAAACTCTTCACCCACTTTCCAGGCTGGGTGGATGATGAGCCCTAAGGGGATTGATGAGCCTTGGAGGATCTTGCCAGACAAACACGAGAGGATCTACTAAACACATCCAAAAATGCCATAGACTGGGATCTCCATTTGAAAGCAACTAGTGATTGTTCCTTTAAGAACCCCAGAAATGTCACTGGGTCCTTAAGTCACCACAGCACAATTCTGTCTTTCTGAATGGCTTTCCTTACCCTCTTCCACTCTGAACCAATTTCCCCTGTCTGTCCACCCCAGTTGCTGATATCTCTGGTTCTTTATCTGTTTCCTTCCTTATGAAAAAATATCTGTTTAGTAAAGATATAATCAGGTAGATTACCATCAACAAAACATGTTCCTGACATGACCATCTGACTTACTTCCCTGACCCAAGAATATTCTTATCTGCATCTAGCCATCTTACCTACAGACATGAATATTGCTGACCATTAGTGACTCGGGTACAGGTGTAGCCCATCACTACCACAAGGGGGATTACCATGCAAGGTGGAGAATAAAGCTATATCATTAGTGTCTCACTTGAGTGACAGTGCGTTAAGTCAAGGCCAAGAGACTGCCATTGTAATCCACCAATGATGCTAACTACACATTCTTAGGCATGGACAATAAAAATATATATATTAGATTCTGAATGCTGAGTTTATTCTTAGCTGGTTTCTAGCACATCAAAGAAAGATACTTATCAAAAAAGCAGTTGCCGGGGGAACTGTAAGAGTCTGAAAACCAGAAGACTGCACTACCCTCAGAAAGCCACAGGAAATGGTGGAAGTGAAGGGTGAGATTCTCCCTTCTATCCCTGGGAGGACAATAAGCTCCTCACCCACTAGTTTAGATTGTGAATGTCCCCCAAAGGCCCACGTATTTGTTGAAGGCTTGGTTGCCCTCAGCACTATAAGGTGGTGGTGGAGCATTAGGAAGTGGAAGGAAATCGGGTCACTAGGGGCACACCCCTGAGGAGGGTACTGGGATCCTGATCTTCCTTGTTCTCTTTTGCTCCCACAATACCATGAGATAGGAAGCTCCTGGGCCACATACTACCCACCATGCTGTGTGGCCTCATCACAGAACCAAAGGCAAAGGGACTGAGTCCTCTGAAACCGAGAGCCAAAGTAGAGGCAATGACCTCACACATTTTATCACAGCACTACAAGGCCGATGAACTAAACCACAGGTTAGTTAAATCTCCAGAAAGCCTGGGACCTCATACTCCCCCAGCATTCACTTCTTTCCCTTCAAGTGCTCTGCCCCTTGCCTATAGCAAGTCTGCTCTCTGAATTTATCTGTTCTGAAAACTAAGTTGCCATTGATTCTGTGATTCAGTTTACAAATCTAACCCTGGGAATGTCTAAAGATGCACCTTCTTTTCCACCTCTGCATCTCTGCCTTAGGCACAGTCCTCTCACATCCTGTCAGGACTCCAGCAACAACCTTTCTGTTTTAACAGAGATTAAAATTACACACACACACACACACACAAACACATACACACATCTTCAAAACAGTATGAAGGTGCAAAACAGTATGTGAAAAAACAGGCTACCTCCTAGGAGAAAAAAACCCTTCTTACAGATTATAGTATATTATAGAAACATTGTATGTATACAATAAAATAATATCTGAATTATTGTTGAAAAATTTATTAAGCATACCCAATACAAAAACCAGAGTTCCAATACCTTTCCTGTGTTGATTCACTTAATAAAGTCATCCTGGGAAGTATGTTAATTAATTATCCCATTTAAAGATATGGCAAAAAACTAAATACTCACACAACTTGGAAATAATGGAGTAAGAATTTCAATTTGGACCATCTGTTTCTAGGGCTGTTAGCTAGCATCATATCCTGATTCCCAGGGGTGTGTGTGTGTGTGTGTGTGTGTGTACATGGATGGATGGATGGATGGATGGATGGATGGATGGATGGATGGATGGATGGACGGACAGATGGATAGATGGACACATACATAGCACAGAAGTATGAAAACAGTTGTAGAAATGGAAAACAGTTGTGGAATTACCGGGTCAAGGCAAGGGCACAGCCTAAATTCTGATGCAATAACGTTTCCTCCCACTTGTTCTTCCTGCCACCACCTCTCCTCACTCCCCTCCCTCCCCTCACCACTATTAAGGCTGACTCCTTCAGATCCTGTCATGCCACACTCCAACTTGAATGCTTTAGCCAGGAGTGAGTACAAGGTCCCCTTCTTCATCTTGGCCCAGACTCTCTACAAGCAGACACTACTCCTGGGCTTCCTCTCCCACCTCTGCCCTGAGACCCTGCACTGCCAGCTTACTGTCCGTTGTTTCCTTCTGAGGGAAGGAGGGATGCTCCTAAGACTTAGAAGCTAACTAAAGTTACATGGCTAAGAAAATTCATGAACTGGCAAGATTTGTGAGGTTTCCCCTGGACGTTCTATGAGCAGTTGGCAATTGCTGGGTGAGAGGAGACTCTGGGGAACTACCCACAAGTTGTGCAGGGACTTCCAGTGATGCAGCTTATGTGAATGAGTCACTGCCCATATTGAGATTGAGGGTTTTCCAAGGGTGCAGCTTGCTTTTAGTCACCCATGCTCATGTAAGCAACCCTCCACACACACTCATATAAGTAACCCTCCACACACGCTCATGTAAGCAACCCTCCACACACACTCATGTAAGCCACCCTCACACATGCTCATGCAAGGAGCCTGAACAAACTCCATTGCTCAACTCTAGACTTGGAGAGATTTGTTTCTTTTGTCTGTCCTTAGTGCCCAGTCTAGGATAAATAGACATTTAATCATGTATCCCCAGGAGAAGGCTCATAACGCTGTCTGCCTCTTCCATTCACCACCAGATCCCCTGTTGTGTTTCACCCCCCTCCCTCCACAGGCTCTCTTCCAACATAGAGCACAATGGCTGATACCCACTTTTCACAGAAAACAACGTTCTTTGCTATTGTCTCTGTGAACATTTTAAATGTTGTATCTTTAGGTCCTGTGCATAGAGCTCACCAAATATTATAGAATCAATAAAAAATTGTTATATTCATGAATAAATGAAATTTTAAAAGTGAAATACTATGATTTTTTTTTTCTAGGAAGCGAATTTACCCCAACAGAATTAATTTCTGCTGCTGATTCCCTGGTGGTTCTGTGGAGGAACAAAAGGTGAGTTAATACCTCAGCCCATACTTGGGAGTTTGGAAATGACAGAACTCACACATGGAAAGATGTCTCCTGACACTGTGTATCAGTTCCAAAACAAGCGAGGGAGAAGGCAAGGCTTTCATTATAGTGAGCCATGTGTACCAAGGCACCTCCGTTTTATCAGCTCCCGGGTAAAGACATGACCATAATGGGTGTTAGTAATGAGGTGTTGCTTTCTGTGATTTTCCCTAAGCTGCACTTCTTCCCTCAACTTACATACTTCTCAGGGATAGAACTGGTACCCTAATGGCAGCCTGCTTAAGCCAGGTCTTAGTCCTGACGTCCCACAAGAAGGTTGCCCGACACTGGGACTTCTTCCTGTTGGCTGTGTCAAGAAGACAGGCAGCTTACTTTGGCCCCTTTCCCTCACTCAGTTCTCCCAACACTGTCCCCTCCCCATCAACTGGGAAACCTAAGGTGATCTAATCCTTTTAACTTATGATTGACTGACTGGTGAATTTTAATTAAAACTCCTTCACACTGAAATGTTATCTCAGCTAGAAGCTCATGCCTGATAATTGTGGAATTAAAAGCTTTCTCCCTATTTAAATACATCTTCAGGCATCAGTAAATAAATGAATAAACATTGGGGGAGATCTCTCAGACTGGGCTGGAAGGCAATCTATTTTTTTTTTCCTTTGTCTTTGGGGATCCCAGAAGGTAGGGACAATGTCCTTCCTCATCAAGCTATTCTCCATTGCCCAAGAAGGACAACTCTCAACTGACTCTGAGAGGGTCACTAGTAAGGCCAGCAGCAGTGCCCTTCCTATCTCGGTGTGTCCTCACAGGGGCTGTGGGGGCATGAGGTCCCAAAGCCCCACACCTGGTAAGAGCTAGGAGACTTCCAGCGTGTGACTCAAGGTCATTGTCTGTCCCTCTGTGTCACTAGCTTCTTCCAGTACTTCTGTTTGCTATGCAGTGCCATCTACACTTTCCAGCTTCCCCTAGGCACCTTGAGTGTTATGTGTGGGAACCCCTCTGTGCTTCTATGTGTAGATCTCTGCTTACTAGTGAATGATGTTTTCTCTCATACTTCCTTGGCTGATTCGCTCATTTTAGATCCTGTCTCAGCCTTTTGCCTCTTACACACATGCCAGTGTTTGGGAAAGTGGTTAGTAGATGTGGATCTGTTCTTATTTTGAAGTGTCAAGTTTTTCCTTTAGAGCAAAAGTCCAACTAATGACAACAGCCTTCTTCTCACCCAGCTGTCATTCTGCAAGTGTTTCAATGATGCATAGAACAAACTTGTCACCATCATGGAGTATGCCATCTAATAGCAAGATATGTATTTTTAACAATACACACATGAGTAAGCGCTAAGGAGAAAAATAAATTAGACTCAAGGAAATGCAGCTTTAAATAATGATTTGATTCTTGTGTGGTCCAATCAGAACTCTTACTTTATCATGAACACTAGGAGAAGTTCATGTAGAACAAGCCTTAACTTGCTAAACAAACAAACCCATCACAGTAGGAATGGCAAAACAAGAGCATCCCTTCATTCCCTGCAAAGATATTTCACTCCTGCCAGGTAAATGGACATGCCTAACCCTCACCATTCTCACTTTCCTCTTGCCACAGTACAAGCTGAAACACTACAAAGCAGCTTAAGATTGTCACCTGTGAACGGGGTGCTTTGAGCCCTCACAGGATGGCGACTGGTAGAGGCCGTGTTCTCTCTGACACCAAATGGGGAGGGCACGGTCTCCACAGCAGGAGTTTCTACCATGAGAGAGTCGAAGTCATCCTCCTCCTCGCCTCTGCCTTCTTCTCGCCTCTCTTCCTGGTTTGTAAGAAGCAGGGGGTCAGATGTGGGGATGCTCTGGTCCATCAAGTCCTCAGTGCCAGAACCTAGCTCTTGAATGATCTGGTCACACTGTGCAATGAAATCTTCACTCTCTGAGTTGGCAACCTTCAGGTCTGACTGGACTTCTGCCTCTAGTGTGGGAGCTGTCAACTCTGAGTTTGATTCCACGGCTGCATCAGGTTCACTCCCTTGCTTGGCTTCTGAGAACGTGTTCTGACACAGGTCTGAACTCTCCCTGCTGGATTGTGAATCCGCTTCAGGGCTGGAGCTAAAGAGAGGTCCATTGCTCATGGGGGGACTCTGGGCTTCAGGTTGGGCCTTGGGCTGGGCCTCAGCTGGTGGGTCAGCCATGTCCCCCTGTGGCTCCCTGGTGTCCTCAGAGTCCTTCTCAGCACACAGCCTATACACCATCACGTCATCCTGGAAGTCTGACTCTTCTATGTAGGTCCCTTTGAAGAGGAGGATGGCATTCTTCTTCATTTCTTGGATGTGTTTGGGGGGGTCAACAGGAGCTGGTGGGGCTGGGGTCTCCACATCATCATAAGGCCCAGGAGAGCCCACATCAGCTCCAGATGAGATACCAGTGTCATAGCTGTCATCCCATTCCAGCTCCGACTGGATCTTGTCCTTTGTCTGCCCCACTGTCCTAGTGTGCTGCTGAGGGAGTCTGGCCTCTGGCTGGGCTGAGCTTTCTCGGCTCTCCTCTGGCAGACTTTGCAGAAAGGTCTCAGGGTCAGGGGAGTCCCCATCATAGAGGGCTGACCACACCCTGCAGTCCCTCATGCAGTGGAGGATGTTGGTGTGGGCCTCCCACAGGTACTGCAGGTAGCTGATATCCAGGGCCTTCCCATACTCCACAATGCAAGCTTCTGGGGCGGGAGGGGCGGGAGGGGCGGGAGGGGCGGGAGGGGCGGGAGGGGAAGGTGGAGAAGGTAGGCAGGGCGCTTCTGGCAGCTGCTCTCCCTCGGGCCCTGTGCAGGAACAGTTGTCAGGAGGAGAGGTAGGGATTAGTCAGGGACTTGGTACCAGTTTAAGCCTAGCAATAGTTGTTTAAATTATTTCTGATGATAAAAACTAAATTAAGAGGGGAAGACAGTGACAGACACTCCACCCTCATAAAACCAAAGTGGCCAGGTGCAGGCTACAGCCAACATAAAACTGTTAGGTCATGCTGTGCCTGAGAGGCCCATAAGGAAGGTCCCTCCATCATGGGCTGCTGTGGAGTCCACCTCGCACTTTGTGGCAACACCAGAAAGGTAAACACCAGCTTGTTCATCCCTCAGGCCTCCTGGTCACAAAATTCAAATGACTCTGGTCCCAGGGGCAGATGTGAAATTTGATCTGCTCTAGAAATCAGAACTTCACACACTATTGTTTCCTCCAGTAAGAGTTAATCCAGCTGGGCCTGTCAATCACCTACCTTGAGTCCACCCCACAGGAAAGCTGATTCACCTGAAGATGTACTAAGAATAAGGGAAGAATACTTATCCTCCTAAGGAGATAATGCATGTACCCCTTCCAGGAAGCTCCCTCATGCAGCCTCTTACAGAGCCTCTGCTTTGGAGCCTACCAGTTTTCTGAAATGCTCAGAAAACTAACTTTTCCTTCTCTTCTGTTTCCTTTTCTCTTGGATACTGGCCAAAAACCTAGGCACTCTTTCCCTGGCGCCCCGGGCTCCCTCTCTTTCTCTAAAGACCTCGCCTCCAGCCCCCAGCCCCGCCCCCCCCATGCCACACACTGCTTGTCCTCCATGTAGCTGGTGATAATCTATTGCAGAATCCGCTTGCTTTCTTAGACCCGAACTTAAAGGGCATGAGGCACGGCCTCTCCCCCATCTCCCTCTTCCCTGCATCTACCAAGACATACAGCTTGCCTATCCTGGTGTTTCTCTCTCAAATTCTAATAAATTTGTCTGAGTTTCCTTCACAGTCCATTTCTAAATTCATTTATTAACAAGCCTAGGAGCCCGAAAGGTGGGACTCCTGACTCCCCAGGTGACAATGTTAGTCAGGAGAGAACAAGAGCTGCTGAGGGCCACTTCCCAGGACTAGGTAATGCTCCTGGTGTGGTGCCTGCCACAGGGTATAATCATTTTAAAGCATCTGGGCTTGAATTTTGATAATAAAGTGGAAGGCTGATGACTCATGAGTTTGAGAACCAGGGTTTTTAGTAGGAAAATCCTGGGTTTCTAGAAAGTGCAATTAACTCATTGTACCTTGTTGGCAACAATCAAGATGCTGACACATATCAGCTGGTCTCCTGAAGCCAAGCAAGGCATAGTCTGTCACAACAGTCATTCCAAACTGAGAAGGTGTCATGTGTTTTAAAGTGACTGACTTCTTGCTACAAGTTCCAACATCGGCACTGAAATGGTGGTGAAACATCTGTGTTTACATTTGTAATTTCCCCTAGGAGGAATTGTCTAGAAAAGATTCAGACACAGAGGGAAATATGCCGTCCACCATTCCTTAAACATCTAGAATACTGTAAATACTTTATCACTGGCATAGAAGTTAATTATCCTACATGATAGGTACTGTTTTCCCACTTGCTCACATATAGAACAGCCATCTCTAGCTACGGATGATTTGAGTGCTGGTCTCCTCTGGACCCTCTCCACACTCTGGTGCCCTTCATAAAGGAATCTCTACCAGACTGGATCAGACCAGCCTTTAGGAGTATATACACAGTGCAGTAAAATAGACACATACCTCATTGTTTACCATTCTACTGTTAGATGGCTAGTGTGGCTTCTCTTAAACACTTTAAATAAAAAGACATCAAACTACTCCTAGGAATATGTCCTGAACAGTGGCTATGTGCCAGGCACGTCTCCTTAGAGCTCTGTGTGCCTGATTAACCTATCCTTGAAATAGTCCATCAGGGAAAGTACTATTTCACAGAAAAGGGGAAAGGTTTGGGGTGATTAGGAATTTTCCCCTAAAAGGTGGGAAAGCCAAGATCAGGATCCAAGCTGTTAATTGTTGCGCAGGAATTCTGCCAGCTAGCTATGTAATCTCCCCTCCAGGATGCCTGTCTGTGGTAACTCCAGAAGTAGGGTATGGAACAAACATGGAGTATGGGAATTGGAGAAGTTGCCAATCACAGAACCTTGAACAGTCAATGCTCTCCACGTATGCTTTGTCCGCAAATTCCAGCACTGTTTTCTCATCCTTAAATGTGACTGACTGCACAGGGAAAGTACCTGACAAGTTTTGCAAAATCATCTTCAATCTGAATTTTGAATTTTGGAAATTAAAAAGCAGGTCTGTCTTGGTTATAGACTCAACACCTGTAACTCATTGTTTTAGAAGACATGTTAACTAATACATATTTTCACATTTGGGACTCTGAAGACACCACTAGAAGGGACATGTAAAATAAAAATCTGTGAAATGACTTAAGTGAAGGAACACTAACAATAGGGTCTAGAACTCCTTATGAAGCAGAAAAAGGCTACCCCCCAAAGAGACACACCATGCCAAGAAAGAGGGATCATTCCTAACATGCTCCCACCTGAACCATCATGCATACACTTTGACCAGAGAATATAATCCCTTTCTTGGTTCCCAAGTGTAAGCGTAATGCCACTGGCACAGCAGACGGGGGTCAAGGCAAGCAGCTTGGCCGCAGACATGGAGTAACAGTCTCTTTCCTTCACAGCCCACCTTTGACTCAGCATCATGTGATTACAGGGGATCAGATACCTGAAATGACAGAGAGCCAGCATTCAATGCTTCTTCAGTAAAACACTATACAACACAATTGGAACTAGTCATGGGGGTGGGGCACGGCGGACTCATTCCCTCCCCACCCTGAGACCACCCGGCACACTGGCCACCTTGGCTGAAAAGCTGCCATGGGCTTCCTCCTTCTGACAGAACCCTTCTCTTGAGCACATTTCTAGCCCTCTCCAATCTAATCTCATTTTCCTCTTTATCCCATGCCTTTAAACCCACTGCAACCTCCATCCGGAGTGAGGCCTCCCCCTTCTCTGCCTGGCAGCTCGTCATGGAAACACTACAGGCTGGGGGAGGCCTCGCAGCTCCATACTCCACTGTGGGTACATGGAAGCATCAGTAATCTGGCATCACAAATATTTCTAATCTACCTCCTCAGTCTGTGCTACCAGAGCAAGGACTGCTTCAATAGTTTTGCCTTTTGATTCCTGCTGCACAGATAGCATCTTAGGGTTAACATGAACCCAGAGGAGAGAAGATCCGATCATCTGTTTCAGATGCACCTGAGCACATGACTGAGCTCTGTGGGCAGAAAGCTGGGTTTAGTGGCTGCCCATTCTAACTGGAAACCACACCAGTCATTTCAACAAGGATGGGCCAAGTGAGTTGAAGGACCTGAAGCTGGTGACGATTCCACAGCAGCCAAAGCCCCCGAGTAACCAGAACCTTTCAGTGAACCACAAAGTTTTCGACTTCCCATTCTGGCTCCCGAGAAAGAGGCAGCACAGAGGAAAACAGGCTGTGGTTCCGAGTCCCATGAAAATGATGAGAAGCACAACTCACGGGCTATGTCTAGGGGCCTGGAATCATGGACTGGTCTCCACACATTCTCTTGATCCCAGTGAAGAAACCTGTTTGTTCTAATGGCCCATCTGCTGAAGGAGCAGAGTCAAGGAGAGAAACATTCCACCTCCTCCATCCACCTAAGTGGTCACTTCAAGAGCACTCTCCGGGTATGAAACACAAACTTGCCACTCTCTCCAGATCAGGCCGTTCTTGAGTACTTTAAATTCCTAGCGTGGCTAGGTGACAGGGTCCTGCCTGTTTCCCCACTACCACCACCTTCCCAGGCACACATTTTGTTGTTCCTAAGAGCCGCATTTACCACATCAGTCACTTCTGGTGTGCCAGCATCTGCTTTTATAAGCAACAGGAACGGAGAGGAGCAGAGTGGGAGGTAAGTACAGGGAAGGAGATGTTTGTTCAGACTCCTTACAGGAGCAAAGACGGGTGGTGCGGGCGGAAAATAAAGATATCATAAGGACTCTGTGATCTGAGGCACCTTAGTAATCAGAGTGACCACAGGGAGAGAAGCATTCCCCACCTCTTTCTGGAACACAGAGAGTCTCACAGGTAATCCAGCTGCCCCAGCACCTCAGGGCAGTTGAGCATGGGGACAGCTGGGGGCAGCTGGGTGGAGAGGAGTAGCAGGGGAAGGCAGACAGGCACAGGCAGTCAGGGGCCAGGACATAATGGCAGCACCCAGAAAAAGGGCCAGAGCAAGGGAAGGAAGATAGCACAGCAGACACTACATGATAATGGTGGGGGGAAGACAAGTTCATCCGTGTATGCATAGAAGAGCTCTTGCTTGGGAAGGTAATGGCTGCTGCTTCCCAGAGGGCCAAGGGCTGATAGGAGGAGGCAAGGATGAAGGCAAGGAAAACTATCCTATAGCATGATGTGAACTCTTCTTTGCCAGGGCGGTAATGTCCACAACTACGCAGATTACACTTACTGTATCTGAACTTGGATCATTAACTACTCATAGAATCAATAGCTTCAGTGTTTATAGACTGCACAAACTCAATGCCTGTTTGCAGCTCAAACCAATCATATTGCATGTGATATACATGCTTCTTCTCTTTGTATGAAGTATTAAAAAAAATGGAACACTGGATAAGAGCTAATAAAGCTATTTATCAAATACCACCCAGTGGATAGCTTGAAATAATTTAGAAGAGTTGACAATATACACCTTTAAAAATTCCAGCTCTCAGAAGAAGCTAAGAATGTCCTCTTAAATAAATCAAATGCCGGGAGATCCCTGTTGGTTTGGCAGAGTTCGGTGGAGTGGAAAAGGGGACAGCCATCCCAAGAATGGCCTTCCAACGATTCCCAGCACTGTTGTTTGGTTGGATTTTTAAGTCGAGGGGACGTAGACACACCACACCCTAGTCCTGAGTCCTCCCATCGTTGAGAGAATGATGGGAACAGAATATACACTAAATGCTTCTCAAATGATAAATATCAAGAGAATGTGGTTGCTGCTCCCAGGAAAATCATGTCAGCATTTAGTACAGGCATTTTCTTAGTAAGTCACCTTTTGACTACCTGCTTCATAACTTTGTTTGGAGATTTTTCTTAAACTCAGGGAGGAATAATTACAGATCTCTGTGTGTGTTTACTGCTGGAATGCTATGTTTCTCAGGGCAGCCTCAAATCGCTGTGTATTCCAGTCTGGCCTCGAGCTTGTCATCCCCCTGCTTCAGCTTCTTGAGTACTGGTATTATAGATCTACATCACCATACACAGCTCACAGATTAAGAAATATTGTCTTTAGCCTTTGTTGGTTCCCTATGGGAGGCTTCACCCCTCTCTAAGGAGTAGATGGTTGAGGAGCTGGGAAGAGGTGGGGGGGGGGGCGAGAGGAGGGGAGGGAAGGGGAACTGGGCATGTAAAATAAAAGATTGTTTAAAAACATTTTAAAGAAAAAAAATACTGTCTTTAAATGTCCAGATTAAGTCATTTTCCAATATACCAGGAATAGAATAAAAAAAAAAAAAAAAAAAACCACTGCTGTCCATATTACACTTACACACACACACACACACACACACACACACACACACACACACACTTTTCTTACTTCCTCAACCCTCTACAACCTTTCCCTGGGCATCATTTAATAATAAGTCATCACCAAAAAAAAGAAAAAAAGGTGACACGAAGTTTGGAAAGCACGGGAGGTGTTGGGGGTAGATATGATCAGAAGACATGATATACATATATGATGTTCTCAAAGAATACATTTTTTGAAAGTAAGCCACCACTCGTGGTAGTCAGGGACAAACCACCAGTGACAAAGAGCACACACTGCTTATTGATGCACTGACAAGAAGGCAATCAAATGAAAAGCAAAGAGGATTAAGAGGCATGCACCAAGACAGAAAGCTGCAAGTGACATCAGTGAGCTTCAAAAGGTCTTTCCTCTTCATCAAAGTCTGGCCTTGTTGCGCCTCTCCATCTCTCCCTGGACTGGCTCCCCACCTCTGTCTCGGACCCCCAAACCTGTGTAAGACGGAAGTGTTCCTGAAATGTACACACAGCCTCTCTTCAAGTAAAACTTCTCCTATGTAAATAAACACCCTAGGCAAGGGGGTTCACAAACCTGATTAAAAACAAACAAACAAACCAAAAACATTCAGACATAGCAACCAAGTTATAAGCAACTGGGGTCTGTCCCAGCACTACCTGTCAGGATTTCCTGTCTGCTCCTGCCCTCTCACAGTTGCATGAATGGAAAGTGGGCAATTTCTCCTGGGTTTTTTGCTCACTGGCCTATCCTCTCTTAGGGAATCTCTCATTTTAATTTACCCTTCTGGACATTTTGCCAAAGGAGAAATTTGAATGGTTATGAAGAGAATACCATTGTGAAGTATCAATATTTATGAGCACTTGAGTTACAACACATAGAGATAGGCTGACTTATTTACCACACACAGCTTCATTAGGAGGGGGCCACACAGTCAGTGCTGTAGCGTGGGCTCTCACGCCGCAAGCTTATCATGCACAAACAACCGCATGGCACGCAAAAGTGAAAGGGGAGATTATAATCTATTTTTATATGCTTTCACACAAATTTAAATGACTAGAAGACTAAAGTTTTTTGATGACCTTGCTCCAGGGACAGATTTTAAACCAGAAAGACATTATTTTTATGAGTTTAAAATATATTTTCAATTTTCTCTTCAAACCAATAATGGCTCCCTCTTTTATGTTCTCTCTCCGACTCTCTCTCTCTTCTGTCTTCTATTCCTACCCTGACTCAATCTTCCTAGTCACACGTGCTTTCCTCTCCTCCCCTTCCCTTTCTCCTACTTCTCTCTCCATTTACTGCCCCCCCACTCCCCCTGTGCTCTGCGGGACTTGTCCCTTCCCGCTTCTGTGAGGGACTTTATTGGTCTGAAGAAAAAACTGAACCTAAAAAAAGGTCTAGAGACCTACAAGACTGACACCAACTAACAATTTGAGCAACCGTGGAAAGGCTACCATAAATGACCTTCCAGGATAGTGAGAGCAACAACTAACTGATCCACCATCATGGAGCCCTCATCTAGTACCTGTCTGAAACAGAAGCAGACACCCATAACTAAACACTGAGTCGAACTAGAATCCAGATACAGAGGGAGAGGACAAGACCCGGTTGCAGAAACACATAGAGATAGCTGACCTGAACAAGGAGAAGCTAATGGGCCCCCAGACTGATAGCTGAGAATCCAGCATGGGACTGACTCAGGCCCTCCTGAATATGGGTCTCAGCTAGAAGACCCACTGTCTAAGGGACCTCAGACAGTGGAACCAGGATGTATTCCTGGTGCACAAAAGGACCTTGTGGACACATCCCCCATGGAGGGATACTGCCTTAACCTACAGGCAGGAGGGAAGGCTTAGTCCCTACTCCAAATGACTTGACAGATTTACATGACCCCACCTGGATGGCATTGCCCTACATGTGGAATTGGGGTGGGGGGATGGGAGGAGAGGGTGGTCAGGGTGCATGTGAGGGGGCAGAGAGGCTAAGAGGGAGGAAGGTAGGAAAGGAGGGAGGGAGGGAATGGGGACTGGGATAGACATGTAAAATAAAAAATAATTAAGATAAAATATATATATATATATACTTTTTTTTTTCAAAAAAGTCCCTGCCCTTAAGTACATATAGTACTCTACATTATTTCAAAATGCTTTCACAGATGTCACAGTTGGTCCACTCAATAATCCTATGTGCATGCTCCAGAAGTGGGACAAGACTGGGAGTGAGGGACAGGAGCAAAAGGTCTACTCCTGCAAAGGCCTCTCAGGCCCTCCGTTACTCAGGGAAATAGTTGGAAATAGAAGTGTTCATAAAGAGGAATTGTATTTTATCAGCACCACCATCCCCATGGAAAAAATAGTCAGCCAGAGAACCTATGGCTAGGTGGTCAAGTCGTCTCTAACCTCAGGCATGGCATCTCCCCCCATTCCATTCAGAACTTGTAATAGCATCATGCCTTGCAGGCACCTTCTGGGACATCACTGAACTGACTAGATCTGACTTGGACATGTATACATTCATACACAAGCTCATTTCCTATTGTTATAAGGTGCAGGTCTGTCTCTCAGACGCAACCATGTTTAACACCATTGCTGAGGACAGATCTTAATATTGTGAGCAAAAAGTTGTCAGAGCTCATCTTGTAAAGGTCACTAGATGTCCAGCAAGCTAATGTCTCACTCTAACCTTGCCAGGCCTTGCTGACCCTCCGCGGGGAGGCAATGAATCTCAGACCTGACCGGGGAGGGACACTGCAAACACAGCTGTTTCCCCTGCTATCAAGGAAGCAGCATTTAGGGATTTAACATTCAAATGCAATCAAGGCTTTGCCCACCTTGAGTGAGAGCCCGCTTCTGAGCAATGAAAATGCTTTGCCAAGTTGTTCTGCTGGATTTCATTCAGGCCCTGCTAATGCATTCTGTCTGTCGGTGGTGGAAACTTGCTAGGGAGCTGAAGTCATCCTTTTAAAACAGACTACCAGCTGTGTCCTTATGATCGGATTTGTTCTCTGCTAATGCCTTAAGATTAGTTACTGATGACCTGATTTAAACCCTAAAAGTTTAAAAACCGCTGTTTTGCTTAAAAGTCTTATAAATGATAGCCCCACAGAAAGTCGCAATCTGTGGGGCCCTGCAGAGTGGGCCACCAAGTTTTTCAAGACTCAGTTTTAATTCCCCCTTTTCTGAGATGTTATACTCACATTAGCCATCCCTCCAACTCAGGTGGTGCAGCAGGACTCTCCAGAGTGTTTGTTAAGACACAGCTCACAGGCCCCACCTCTAGGGCTTCTGATTTACCAGGTTCTGGGGGAATCTGCAGTTCTGGCCAGTCTCAGGCAGTGACCATTCCCAAAACGGCACTTTCACATCCCTGGCTTTTCTAAAGCGACCGTACATCTCAATGATCCTGTCTGTATTCACCTCAGTCATCAAATCAGTCTCTCTCTCTCTCTCTCTCTCTCTCTCTCTCTCTCTCTCTCTCTCTCTCTCTCTGCGTGTGTGTACATACATACACGTGGAGGTCAGAGGTCAACTTCATATACCATTCCTCAACACCATCCACCTTGTTTATGACAAGAGAGACAGCTCTCACCCTGGCCTGGAATGCGGCCATTACTCCAGGCTGGCTGGCCAGTGAACTCCAGAGACCCTGTCTCTGCCTCCCTGGCACTAGGGTTACAAGCATACACTACCACACCAACTATTTTTAAAGTGGGTTTGGCTCTATCAGATGAGCTGTGTTCCCAGCCCCTCTTCAGTAATTCCTACTCAAATCATGGCACAACCCAGTGGTGGACTAGAGAAAGGCCAGGCCCCCTCCAGCCCTGTTCTCTCTCTCACTGGTCCCTATCTCCACTAAGGAAGGAGGGGTGCACTTAATGGTGCACAGACCCTCTTACACTGCACCCGCTGGCCACTCCCTCGTAGAGCACAGCTCCTCAGGCCAGGTCAGCCTGCTTCTGCTAGCAAACCTTTCCACTCTTCCATTCCCACCCCCCAGAAGGCATAGTTGTGTCTATACACCAGTCCACTTAAGAGAAGACAATAGAACAAACGCATCTCTATGGGTTTATACTTTAGGCCTGTCCCTGCCTGGTCCATAGTGGTTACAGAGGAGAGGGGCAGGTAATTCTGCTCCAGCATAGTCTTTCCTGTAGGACTCTTAGCATTGTGGGCCCTCTTTATACACGCTGCAGCTCGTGTTAGGAAGGGTCTCACTGGAGGACTGCACTCCGGATTTAGGGTTAGCGTTCAGCAGAAAGGAGGAAGGATGATGACTGGGGACTAGCCTGGTGCTTCCAGAGGACTGAACCACATTACCAAGGACACAGTAACTTTCCCTCCCAGAAGCAGAGGACCTGTGGGCGGGCAGGAAGGGCATAAGGCAGGATCGGGGGCAGCGGAACCTGCGCCTAATCACCAAACTCAGCACTGCGACTCCCATCTCAAACAGCAGCATCCTTAGAGCTCCCCATCTCACTGGAGGATGACTTTTCTGCCTTGTGCTGAGCTCTCACTATCTGCTCCATGCTGTCCCCATCTCACTGGAGGATGGCTTTGCCATCTTGAGCTGAGCCCTGACTATCTATCTGCCCCATTTTGTCCTCACAACTGAAGCTCACAGACTGGACAGTCACAGGGTAATGTTACTAAAGAAAGGGCTGAAAACTACATTGAAGTGTTTTATGTTTGAAAAAAAAAAAAAGTTGTTTTAAATAACAAGGGTCCCTTAAGAGAGCAATAACCAAAGGGTACCCCAGGAAAAAGAAGTTCATCCATGACCCCAAAGAGCTTTAATCCTTGCGAACTTTCCAACATTCTCATTATTGTTTTTAGGAACACATTCATCATATAATACAAATGCCCCCACTAAAAACTTTTCCTAATAAAACAAAATTAACTTTGGGAAGTAACACCAAAAGCATAAAGTTGGCTCTTTTAATAATTTTCTTCCTTAGAGGCATGGTCCTTACTTCATTTACATTATCAAAGTAAAACAAAGCAGTAACGCTACAGATGAGCTGTCTTTAAGGAGAACAAACATTGCAAGCTCACCTTAAAACCAGTTGTAACATCACATCTTCACAATGTAAACCGATGAGAGTTCTGAACAATGCCAGGGACACCACACAAAGCTGGGGAGCAATCAACACAGAGCGGTTTCAGATGTCAGGCTGATAATGCCACCCCCAAACAGGTAACAAATAAATCAGAATTACACAACAAAATGGCCTCTCTATCCCCTAGTGCTTTTCATAAAACACACCTTGCTGCCAGGAGAAATATATTCAGAATACCAGTTCCCCTGGGGAGAGTTGGCTAGACACCTAACGGCTACCTGCGAAGTGCCACTGCTCACTGTGAATCAAAGATCTGGATAATACAAATGTGCCCCTTCAACTCCTGACGCATACGTCTTCCCTACCTCCTCTTCAGACCATTTGTTTTTCTAAGTTGGTTTCAAATATGATGCTGATTATTCACAAGAGAGGGCTCACAGAAAAGTTCCTAAAACCCAGCTAGCTCTCTTCAGAGTCTGCAGCTCCAAGCCTCAGGATCTCTCTTGGTGTTGCAGCAAAGTTTTCTCCTTAGCTCCATTTCCTACAGTGTGAAAATTTACTTCCTTAAGAAGTTCGCTTAAAAAAAAATATTACATTTTTTTTTTACAAACATGAATTCTTTCAACCTCTAATTTCTAAAAAGGAATGATGAACTACCAAAAAGGGGGGATATCCAATTATAAAAAAAAAAAAAAAAAAATCACTGTAGCTTCTGTATCCCAAGCTGTTATCAATCTCCCAGGCCATTCAAGTAATTTAGACTCCAAGTCTTTGTAAAGGTGAGTACATGCTAGTTTGTCTTCTAGGCAGAATGAATTTAAACCAACAAAAGTATTGTAAAGAAATAGCTGTATTTGACTGGCTCCAAACACCCCATTTGCTCAGGACGGTGACAGTTATAGTTAGTCCGAAGCAACAGCCTGTCTCATCCCAAGTCACTGCGCGTGCTGCACCCTTACCTAGAACGCCTTTTCAGGCCTCCTCTGAGACTTAGCCTAGAATCACCTCTCCCTGGGAAACCTTTCTGTTTTTTCTCACAAACAGCCACCCAACACTTCTTTTTCCAGTCTCAAATAGGTGTCCCGCTTATCTATTGCCATAGTAACCTCTGTCAATCACTGCCAAGGCGCTTGGCAAGGTGCATATTGCTTTTAATAACTGAGTTGTAGGAGTCCTTTATTCTATGCACAAGTATTTTACATGACCTAAATGTTTCCAACCATTCTATAGATTGTCTTTTCAATTTTTAAAAGTTTTGTTTACTTCCAGGCAATGGCACATGCCTTTAATCCCAGTATTCAAGAGGCTGGTGTGGGGGGGGGTGGTACGTATATCTTTGAGTTCAAGGCCAGCCTTGTCTACAGAGCAAGTTCTAGGACAGCCATGGCTTCATAAAGAAACCCTGTCTTGAAAAACCAAGTTAATAAATAAGTAAAAAAAAACTGTGTTACTTTTTTATTCTTTGAAACTATTGTTACCACACATGTGTGTGGGCACACATATTGCTGTGTACGTGTGGAGGTCATAGGACAGCTGGTGGCATTTTTCCTGTCCTTCCACCCTTACGTGGGGTCTGTGGATTGAACTCAGGTCACCAGCTTTGCACAGAGAGAGCCTTTATCCACTGAGGCATCTGGACTTAGACTTATTTTTGAAATAGGGTCTTACTATGTAACTCAGGCTAGATTCCAACCTGGAAACGCCTGCCTCGGTTTCCAGAATGCCAGGCTCACAGGCACACACCACCCACCATACTTGTTTTTCATTTCTTAGATCCTTAGAACATTAAAGACCCTCATCTTGAATGTGTCCAGTTTGTCTAATATTTCTTTTGTTGCTTTTGGTGCCATATTTTTAGAAACCATTGCCGAGACTGCAAAGATTTTTCTCATTTTCTTTAAACTTGAAGTCTTTGATTCATTTTGAGTTAATGTTTGTTTATCACATAAGGTAGAAATTAAGCCCTCCAGCCTATGAACATAGAAATGTGTGTGTGTGTGTGTGTGTGTGTGTGTGTGTGTATTTTTGATACTATTGTAAATGTGACTGATATCTTGATTTTTAGATTGCTTATTGCAAAGGTTAGTGTTAATTGCCAATATGACAGAATCTAAAATCACCTGGAAGATAGGGCTCTGGGCATGCCTGTGAGGGATTATCTTAACAACCTTGAATGATGTTAGAAAACTCCATTTAAATTATGGGCCACTCAAAAATGATTTGAGCCCCAACATTCACACATGTGATATGACCAGTCACTTCAGTTCCTGCTGCTTGAGGTCCCTACCATTAAGGACCCTACTTTGACAAGTACGCTAAAGCAAACTTTACCTCCTTTAAGTAGCTGTCTTTGTTATGAAATTTTATTATAGCAATAGAAAAAAGAGGATTAAAACACTCACTAGTGTATAAAAATAAAGTTGATTTTGTACATGAAATTGCATATTTTCATCCTTGTTTACCCCATTGTAGTTCTAATAGTTCTTTTTAGCATATTCTTTACTTTTTTGTTTGTTTGTTTGTGTGGGGTTTTTTGCATATAAGATCATGTCACCTAAAAACTGGCAGCTTTAATCTAGGTCTTTATTTGCTTAATTATATAAATGGAAGCACTCTGGCTAAATAATTAACAAGCACACTTTTCTTTCCTTATTTCTTAAGGGAACACTTTCTCCACTGTTAAGTTTTAGCTCAGAATTCATAGACAATGTAGCTTGTCTTAAAGAAGTCTCCCACTATTCATGGTTCACTGGAAACCATCATTCTCCTCTCTGTTATTGTAAGCTTGACTTTTTTTTTTTTTTAATCTGTCTCAGACAAATCAAGGCATTTGTTCTTTTGTTGCTAGCTGTAGTATCTTTTTGCTACTTAGTGTAATATCTTCAAGGTTCATCCATGCTGTAGCATCTCAAAACAACTTATCCTTCCCCTTTATATACCTACCTATTGGTGGATTTCTCACATTCCTATCAATGTTGGTTTTAATTTAAACTCAACAATATACGTTGCATAGTTTCAATTCTTTCCAATTCACTGAACCTTGCTTTGGTTTGGCTTGTGATCTGCCTTGGAGAAGGCTGAATTTGGGCCCTGCTGCTATCAGATGAAATGTTAAATGAGATCTTTTTTCTAGTATAGCACTTTAACTTCCTTAATTGTTTTCACACAGTTTTTTTGTTTTGTTTTGTTTTGTTTTGTTTTTTTAAATTTAATTGGGACAGGGCCCTGCTATGTAGCCCAAGCTAGCCTCATGTTTGGCAACTTTCTGCCTTGGTCTCCTAAGTGCTAGATTACAGACCTGTGCAACCTTGCCTGCCCCTGAGTAATGAATACATAGTTGCTTTTGTTCTTCTAGTAAACTTATCAGACTCTATTTTGGATTTAAAACTAAGTTAATCTAAACAAAATACAGAAATAGTATTCCTATATAGTTCTATCCTCTCCCTCTCTGTTTTTAAACATGTAACACATATACACTATAAACTCAAAGATATACTGTTAGACTTTAGCTTTTAAAACAAAGAATGCAATGAAATAGATATAGTCTTTGAGGAGGGGCTGTAGTGGGTGCCACTCTTAGTATTGAATGGACCTTCAAAGTTGAGTGGGGCTCCAAATGAAAGAATGAAAACCTAACCCACAATTTCTCAGATTTTCATTTCAAAACATCACAGACAGAGATGTGCTACCTCAGGCCTGGTTACTCCAGTTCCTTGACTTTCCCTGCCCCTAAGTCTTTATGTTCTCAGAATATTGCTCCTTCAGAGTGTATTTTGCCAGTTCCACAGAAGAAAGCATCAATATAGACAAGTTGAGAAAATTGGGGGGAGGGCACAGCACAGTGTCACCTCCCCAACAAAGGGACACCTGATAGGGGGAAAAAGTCATCAAATTATCTCTACTCAAACAGAAAAGGGATTAAACAGCTGCAGGGGAAAGTGAAAAGGAGGGAGGGAAATAGTCATAATTTCATTCCCAAAACAATTCCCTTTTGGAATCTGAGTTGACCGCATCCTTCCCTGGAAGCTCTCCTTACCCGAAAAGGGGTGTTGATTCGGCTGGTGAGAGTGTCCAGAATGTGGACATTTTCGTGTTGGTGCAGTAGGATGAAACGGAGGAAGATTTCCAGGAGAGCCGGCTCAGAGATGCTTCGCAGGAAAAGGTCCAGGTATGCAGTTGTGGTCATGACCTCTTCTACTGTCACCTGGAGCCAATGACAGAGTAGCACAGGTAACTATCTTCTTGAAACTGCCAGAGGCTCACCCCAACACCCCACCTCAATACAGGGCCACTGCCATGAAAACACTTGAGTGCTTAGCTGAAGTCAGCAAATTGGAGCTCCAGCAGGGAGAGGCAAAGACAGGGAAGGCAGCCGTATGCTCTGACAGTCCCAGTCACATGCAGCTTAAACCCTATAAAAGTTTTAGTGCATACTCAAAAATGGGGCGAAAGATTATGAAAAGTATTTATATGATTAATAAAGGAGCAATTAGAAAGTTTGGTTTAATTTGTCGCACTATTAGTCATTCAATAAACATTTACTGTATCTTCTACATACAAGGAGCTGTAAACCTAGGAACATGCTTTATGTTCAGGAAATTGAGCTTTAGCAAATTAAATGATAATGTGATAAATTACAAAGGAGAGGTGTGGGCATGGAGTGCTACAGATGTTCACTCAGATGTGTTTCTGGAGAGCAACAAGCCAATATTTTTATAAATGAGTACCACACATAAAACATTATTTATAAAGTGCTATAAGAACTCACTGCTTAATAAAGTAAGGGAGACTTTTTAAGAACACAAATAGAGATTTTTTTTCTACTCATGTGCTTTTCCTACTCAGAAAGAAAAGTCAGTCTTTTGGTGGATCAGCCTGGTCTTTCACAGAGCTAAGGAGTAGAGTAAGCTTAAAGTGGAGGTCGGAGGTCAAAGTCAGATGTTTCCCTTGATCACTCCAAACCTTGTGTTTTTTGTTTTGTTTTATTTTGTTTTGTGGGGGGTGGAGATGGTGTCTTATTGAGCCTGGAGCTCACTCATTCCACTAGTATGGCCAGTGGCCCCTCAGGACTTGTATCTGCTACCCTCATCATGGGGTTGTACATGCACACTGCTACCTAGCATTTCTACATGGATGGCAGGGATCTGAACCTGGGTCCTCATGTTTGTGTGGCAGGCACTTCACAGACTGAGGCATGTCCTCAGTTCCTCAGCCTTAGACATATTGATTCTAAGGGCTTCTATATGCAGAACATAGCAGCTGATTTTTCTATTTAGAGCTTATTACCAGGCTATTAATGTTTCTGCTGGGCACAAAAACACCCCACCGTTGGATGCACTGAAGTCACCAACTGCTCAGTTCAAACTCTGGAGTTCCAACGCCACACCCTACAAAGGCTCCGCCCCGACCAATGCACTTCATTCTAAACAACGAGGATCGACAATGCTTTCTGAATGAGTGTCTCCTCTTTTCCATTTCTCCTCCCTTTAAAAGTGTTCACTGTCACTTTAATCGTGACATTATCAGGACCATTCTTTTTATGCTACATTCCTCTTCTCCTTTTAATTTTCAGCTTTAAAAACCCACAGATCAGTTTAGAAACCAGATGTCCAGAGCTTTGAGATGAGCGTGGCTAGGCCATGAATGGCTGCATCTGTGAATAAAGGCTTGACGCTGTCTATTTTGGTAGTTTGAATTACTTTTTATATGTTCTTGGTGCTCAGCTGTGTTCTGGATAGATGAGTCCAGGTGGGCAAAATATCACAAAATCAGCTGTCTCTTTTCTTTATTCTAATAAATAATGGACTCTATGGTAATAAAGTCCATTTGAATTCAATCTTTCAGAATCCACTGAGAACCCCCAATGGTGTTCTGAATGGCAGGGCACGTCGCTGGAGTGCAAACACCGTCCCCAGCTTGGCAGCAACAGTACGAGCTTGCAAGCCCTCAGACTACTTGAAGTCATCTGTCCACTTTAAAGGGCCCACTGTAGCCCAAATATAGTAAAGGAAGCAGAAGCAGAGAAGCATCAACACTGGGCATAAATGACACTGAGAAAAGTGTCGTCCCACAAGCTGCCCTGCTTCTGCAGCTAGCTGCTCTAGCCCAGAGCTCTCTGTAGTCCTCTAGTGGGACTTGCATGGGAAGTGTCTAAGGATGTCCTGAGGTTCAGACCTAATACTCCTACTGCAGTACACAAAACTGGGCACACATAGGACTTCCTCATGGGCGAATGGCAGCTATCCCTCAAAGATCCAGCCATTGTAGCTGCCAGAGTTGAGCATAACTCAATTCTTCCATATACTCTCTCTATACCACAGAATATATGATCATACACTCAGCACATAAGTATGGAATTATTATGTGTCTGGATTGGATTATGTTATAATGCTTGCTTGTAAACACTGCTGTTTGAGTTGTTAATTTGAGTTTCACAGAAAAATTGTTAAATAAACATTTTAATAAGGCTTAGGTCAGGATTTCCAACAATTTCTGAAATGACCCTAAACCATACTGCTACTTTGTACTATATATTCATGTGGCTTGGTGTTCTCAGCACTGACAATTGTAAAATCTAAGCATCAATCAATTCTGAAAAACACTGCAGCATTAAATATTCAGTCAAGAATTAATTTTTTATTGAAAACTAAATAGGCACATTCATCAGTATGCAACTTTGATTTCATCTTAATAAATGGTAAAATTATATGTGTAACAAATAATTGCTTTAAAATAAGTTCATGATTTATTAATATAAACATTTATTTGTGTTTCTATCTTATGCGCCTATTGCAGCAGAACGGGAAATGTCCATCATAGACTCGAGGATTTGAACCCTTGATCTCTGTCAGTACTGCTCAGAAGGCGGAGCCTCACTGGAAATGTCACCGATGGAGGCCACGGAGCTATAGAACCCGGGTCTAGTCCTGCCCCCTCTCTCCCTCCTTTCTGCAGACACGGTGTGACTGATTCCCTCTATACTTGCCACCCCTTCCCACCGTGGTGGATGGTGTCCCTTCCTAAAGCATAAGCCAAAGGAAACCCCTCTTTCCTCTAGTTGCTTCTTGTTGGAGATTTGGTTATGGCGATGAGAAAAGTAAGGAATGCACCTATATACCCAGGGTCAGGTAAAACCTCTTAGGCAGAAGAAATTCCAACTAGAAGAAAACCTAAGAAGCCTTGCTCTACATGTGTCCTACAGGCTCTTCCATCTGTCCTTCCTCCTTTCTTTCTCCCCCCTCCCTCCCTCCCTCTCTCTTTCTTTTTCTTGTGTGTGTTCTTCTGTGAATAAAATTTTACAAAACCCTTCCCATGCTAGCATTATCTACTGTGCTACACTCTCATCCCTTGGTTTTTGACACAGGCCTCCCAGTGTAGGGCAAACTAAACTATAACTAATAATCCTTCTGCCTTGGTCTCTGAAGCATTAAGGTCACAGGTGTGTGCTACCACACCCGGGTGTAGGTACATTTCTAGTGAAGATTTCCAAAATAATGCCACTAACAAGCTAAACAGGAAGTGCTGCTCAACCACAAACATGGGGTTCAACTCCTCAGGTCCACTTGACTGCAACATTGGGATTGCTTGGTGGAAACCTCAACCAAAATGATCAAGGCAAAAAAAAAAAAAAAAAAAAAAAAAATCTAAGTGGAAAAAAGTAGAGAAATGAAATCATTCCAACGGCTGATCGGCTGATGAAAGTTAGCTTCTTTGACACTAAGTCTGTAACTTCACCGAGTGCTGCTGAACTAAGGCATCACGAGGCTCCCAGAAGCTGCTTTCCAGCACTAGCGCAGCCTCAGCTTTCTCCACTGGGGAACACGTGACCTTAATAAGTGCAAAAGCCTAGCAATCAACTTGCTAGAATCCAAGTCTGTCCTCGGGGGCCAGCATGAAAGGGGCGTAGAGCAGCTATTGTTTACTACTCTTAGGCTGGATAAATGAAAAGATTTTATTTCTTTTTAGAAATCAAAGCTGTCATTAATAAGCTAAGAGGATTTAAGGAAGCACTTGGGGGCAGCATTTACATAACATGCTATAAATATTAAAAACCCAATCTCATTAAATATCAAGTTGCAAACTCTTTATAGATTGAGGTCACACTTCCCTTAAACTAATACCCCGACCAGGGAGCCAGTTGACGTCTCCTTCCACCTCTTCCTCCTGCCATCCCTTCAGAGCCTTTCATCCCAGAAAATCTTCTCCTGCCCCATTATCGTACTTTCAGAAACTTCTTCTAATCCTCCCAAATAGGTAACGTCCTTAATGAGGATAAGACTAAGAGCCGAAGTGTGATCACTTGAAAGCTAACGATAACCACAGAGGAAGACACTCAGCCTGAGAAATGCAAAGCGGAGCCTTCTGCTAGGGGCCCAGAAAGTCTCAAACTAACTATTCAATGATGAAGGACAATGAGCTGTAACATGAGGACCCCTTGTCTCATAAGATTGTCAGTACCTACCTTGTTCTGTAAAGGGTGGCAGGCAACAGTCAGCTTACACAAAAAATAGCCAGCTATACAAATTAACTTGTCATTCAAATGAACAGTGTCTACACATGCTGCAGCTTGAGAATGTTATTTCATGTTAAGGGTAGACCATAATAACTGAGGAAGCATAGTGAAAACTCAAATTCCACCCACTCCCCAAATTACTCTTGAGAAGATAAAGACAGCTGTAAACCTGAAGAATGCACCTGCTGCCTAGACACTGTTTCTGCTTGCCTCCAGTCCAAGTGCTAGGTGGAGGCCTTCCTTGGGGACTTGGTTTTATTAATGTCAGTCCAATTTAGTCCATCCTTTGAAATAAACCTTTATTTATCCACTTTTGCCATCTTCCATTAGCCCTTGCTTGGCTCTTCCTTCATGCCAACTGCCTTTGCCATCCCCTTAAAGTTGTGTTTTCTAAAAAATGTAGTTTGAGACTGGGTGAGTGAATTCAATTTGCTGGTTCACTAATGGTTTAGACCATTTTCAAATAGAAAACGTTAGTGTAGCCTGCATGTAGTAAGAGCAAGTACTGCTGTGTGGAACTTAGGCATATATATTTTATTAGAAATACATACAAGTCACATTATGTGCAGGTGTTTCACTGGCATACCCAGTAGATATGATATGCCAGTGTGCAAAAGCCTGACTGTGAGCATCACAAGTCATCCAACAGACAGTGCAGTAACACAACTCAAAATCATTCGTACAAGTCCACT